TGTCTCTCCATGTGTCTCCTTCTCAAGACAGCAGCGTAAGGTCGAGGGACCAGTAGCAGGATCCAAACCTCTCATTATCTCCCTAGCCGTAATCAACAGACTCGTAATTAAATGTGCCACACCTTGCATGTCTACTCTATTTCAGCAGCTAGATAATGCACGGCCAAAAGGGGTATCCATCTCGAGAATCAAAGCACCCGTCCGGCTTGTTTGTGTTCCCATAGCTAGCTAAGAAGAGCACAACGTAGTTGTCTAGCGCCGACCCTTGGCAGACCAGAACCGAAGACGGAGGGACATCTCTTCAACTGTTGTCACAATAGCCAGGTGTCCAGAGGTAAAAGACAGAAATTTAAGAGTACGTACCGGGAGCCGCCCTCATGCCCGCTGCCAGAAAGTATAAGTACGTGCTGTGTCCCTCCGATGTTGTCATATCTCTCCCCAATCTCAACACCAGCAGCCAGCCTCAGCAACCCAACAACTCTTTGAGCCAACTCCTCTCCCCATCCAAACCAACAGCACATCCATCCCCAACCTTCTCTTCTTTCTATCCTCCCCACCAGCCACGAAAATGAAGTCCCTGTCCCTCCTCTCCGCCATCCTCCCCTTCGCCACAGCGACCTACTTCGGCTGCCACACGGAAACCTCCCCCAAAGCGCTCGCCTCGGCCTTCACGTCCAACTTCACCACCATGACCATCGAACTCTGCCAGCAATTCTGCACCGTCGACGCGCCCGGCGCGCCCTACGCCCTGTGGGGCCTCGAGTACAGCGGCGAGTGCTACTGCGCGAACGCGCTGACCGCGGGCTCGTTCCCGACCTTCGAGACCGACTGCTCGGCCCACTGCGCCGGCGACGCCACCGAGACCTGCGGCGGCGGCAACCGCCTCAGCCTTTACGGCTCCGGCACCACGCCCCCGGCGTTCACCCCGCAGCCGCACCCCGGCGGGCCGGTGACCGCGTTCTCGCCGCAGGGCTGCTGGACGGAGGGCGTCGGCGTGCGCGCGCTCGGCGGCGCCATGGCAGCGTCGGATACGCTCATGACGATCGAGGCGTGCGCGAGCTTCTGTTTGAATTCGGGGTTCCTCAGGTTTGGCACCGAGTATGCCCGCGAGTGCTGGTGCGATAACACCCAGGCGGCGTCGAGCAATTTGACCACCAACGTGCCGAGTGATTGCAGTTTCGCCTGCACGGGGAACAGTGGTGAGGTCTGTGGTGCCGGTGATAGGCTGAGCGTGTACTTGTGGGCTTGATCAAGACGCAGGGATGGGACAAGCGTGCGGGGTGGGATGAGTGGATAATGGCTGGTGGAGGATGAAAGGGGGACTTGGTTTGTGGGATGACAGGCTCTTGTAATGTTACTACTTCTCTTCTCTTTGGCGGGTGTTTACTGCAATTGTCTGCTTGTCTTGACTTCCTGGGTCAAGGCAGACAGGTTATGAAGTAGCACCTGAGTTCGATGGTTGCTCGCATGTTTTAAGAGTCTGTTTGTTTATTGTCAAAGTCCTTAGCTCATGCTATGACAGCCAACGATTACAAGTGGAATTCGAAATCGTCTTTTGACTAGATACAGATTCGGAAAGTCTTGTTTCCTTCTCGCAGTCGCTGCTAATTACCTAGTTAATCCTCCTCTAAACGAGATTTGCCTCCCCTGACCGGCCACTTGGACTCGTGGTTAAATTTTACACAGTTCTCTCGACATTTACGACCAAATAGTCTTTAATATCTTCTAGAACTAACCAAGAGGCAGAGAGAAGGCTCGTTCTGCTCATCCGAACTCGAATCTTGCGTCGTCTTCATCCACAGTTTGGTTCCCAGCTGTCTGACTCGGAGGTCTACGAACACCTAGGCCACCTCCGACCGGTAAGAGCACCACATCAACTAAGGTAGGTACCTTTGTCACAGGCAAATCTTGGGGATCAAGGCAAGGCTGCTGCTTGTGCCTGACGAGCACTGGGACGGCAGCGAATTACTTACCTAGACCTGCCCCTTGCTTGCCGGAGCAAAGCTCCGAGCAGATATTAATTGCGGCAAGTTCCCGCTTCTGTTCGCAGGATGATGCTACGTACCACGTATCTAGTAGCATTCTGTTCTTTTCGTCCATGCACAGCACGCTCCCGCCCAAGTGCAGACGTCATGCACACGTTAAGACTCTGGCGCTTCATCGCGATATACCTAGGTATGTCACACTGCAACCTGCTGTTTTTCCCAACCCTATCTAGCTACCTTACATATCCTTTCAAAGTTCCCCTCGACAACACCATCGACAAAACGATATCGTGCTCGCTCCTAGTCCTGGCCGAACCCTTGTGACCACTCTCATCACCAACAAGCTCGACTAATAACCATGCTGTCGCTCCGCATCCTCCCCAAAGCTCGGCCACTCTTCCGCGCGCAGCTGTGCCGGGCGTTCCACCAGTCGGCCCGGGCTTAAGCGGGCGGCGGCGGTGGGCACCATCTCGGAGGCCATCTTGCGCGACCGCCACGAGCTCGAGGAGCACTACAACCAGGTGGTCAACTCGTCCAACTACGATCACCAGCAGCGCGCTTCGGCAACCAGTTCACGTGGGAGCTGGCGCGCCACTCGGTCGGCGAGGAGCTAGTCGTGTACCCAGCCATAGAGCAGCACCTGGGCGACGCTGGGCAAGGCCGACCGGCGCGCGCACCACGAGGTCAAGGAGCTGCTCAAGGAGTTCCAGGGCATGGAGCCCGCCGACGTCAACTACGTGCCCAGGCTTAAGCAGCTGTGGGCCAAGCTGGGCGATCACATCAAGCACGAGGAGGAGAGCGACCTGCCGCGGCTCCGAGGCCATGGCCGAGAGCTTCGGCCGCACCAAGGCCTTTGTGCCCACCCGCAGCCACCCCAGCGGCGGCGAGCACCCGCCCTTTGAGACCGTCATGGGCCTGATGACCGCCCCAATTGACCGCATCGCCGACATGTTTCGCAAGTTTCCCTGATGGCTGCAGAGTCAGAGTAGAAACCGGGAAAGGATAAATGGATGAGAGATAATGAAACAAAAAAGTTGTGACTGACCTGGTCGCCGTGCACAACAAAAGGGGAGGACCCTGCGCTTGTGGACATTGCCAATTTCCCCTGCGGCTGAAGGTGCCCCAAAGGGTTCTAGGCTCGCAATTGTGCATGCCAAGCGTCGCGACATGGGGCATCGTGTGGTGCCAGGAATGCACGTCCTCGCCCTACGCGGCATGGCGTCGGCGCTAGGCACGCGAGAATCCGGTAGGCTGGTTGGGGATCAGAGCCAGGGAGGGCCGCTGCGCTGCTGTTCCTGTCGAAACAAAACCAGAACTGGTTCCCGACTGGAACGGTTCCAGCCAGGCCTTGGCTTCTTCTCCTCAAGATTTCTGGAGCAGCGAACGCCTCCCCCCCCACAGTCATTACAGACACATAAATCATGAAGTATTCGGCTTCTTCTCTCGGGCTGCTGCTCGGCCTCGGCCTCGGCCCCGCGCTCGTCGTCTCGAAACACTGCCCGTGCATCCGGAACTCGGCGCTGTCGGTGCTGACGGCCGACAAGGCGACGGCCTTTTGCTCGTCCTTCCTCGGCTTCGACGTCGAGCCCGTCACCGTCACCACGACGCCCATCACCACCGTCGCCACCACGCTCGTCACCTCCCTCACTGCCACCGCCACCGACCCCCAGACGGCCGATGCCACCCAGTTGACGACGTCCACATCGACGTCCATAGTGTCGTCGACGAGCTACAAGCGCAGCGGCGGCCCCGGCCCCACTGTCATCAACAAGCGCACCATCACATTCGTCAGCGAGCCCACGACCCCCTCAGGCAAGTTTCTCCCCTCGTGTCACCCCACAGCCGCGCCGACTAACCCGCCGCCACCACCACCACAGGGCTCGAGCCGTACGACTCGTCCGTCATCAGCACGGCGTGCAGCTGCTACGTGACCAGCCCCGCCGAGGCGCCGACCGTGACCGTGACTTCTGCCGCGACCGAGTTCACGACGGCGACAAGCTCGTTCACCGCGCTGACCATCACCGAGTCGCCGACCGTCGCGACCGACACAGTCACCGTCACCGTAGGCGCCAAGGCGACCTCCACCGTCGTCGTGTCGGGGCCGCCGAACCTCATCTTCAACCTGGTAGCCACATACACGACGCACTGCGTGCCGTACAACTACCAGACGCTCGACTTTGGCCTGACCGAGGCCACACCCAGCTTCGAGGGCGCCTTCCAGTACTGCGCCGCCATTTGCCAGAGCTACGCCGGCTGCACGCAGATCTATGTCGCCTGGGACGGGTCCACGTCCTTCGACTGCATGACGGGCACCACGGGGTCCTTCGGCTGGGACAGCTCCGAGTTCCAATGCAACTACCCCCCCATTCACCAGAACGGCTACTGGTTCAACGTCGGCACCACCGTCGCGCCGAGCGCGCCGTGAGAGCGGAGCGTCCGCTCGTTTGTAGCGCTCACTATGTAATTAATACCTAATTTGACAACAAGATCACTTGGTTCTCCGTGCATGTCCGCAAGCAACGTCTTGACTGTAATCATTGTTACCCACTGTGAATCTAATGAGGCTCCATTCCATGTTGCAACAGCGACAGGCATTCCAACCAAGGGAAACAAAAACATGTGCTGCGTGCCCGAGATCACCGCCAGGGGGCATCCAAATCCTACGTTGCCATTTCGCCAAGGTAAAATCCTTTGCCAATTGACGGGCCCACTCGGGATGTCACCAAATCTGGGACGACATGGATGCAATGCCGTAAGAAGAAGCGATGCTCTGCCTCCGGCGGCCCTCCGGGGGCGCCTGCAGCGGGCTGCTCGCTGCGCTCGAAAAGAGTAGGCATGATTGTTGACAAAGTTGGTGAGAGATGAAAAGAGGTATTGGTTAGATAAAACGATGAAAAGGAAATGAAGAAAAACAAGAAGGTAAAGAAAAAAACAGGGAAAGAAGGGGAGAAAGAAAAAAAAAAAAAGTAACACAGCCCGAAGCCGCGCCCGCGCTTTTTGAACAAGTATTCTTTTTGGACGGGCTGGGAATCGAACCCAGGACCTTTCGCAGGAAAGACAGCAATTGCCAGGGTACATTGATGTGCCTGGGATGGCCGCCTCTTTTTGATGCTAAGCAAACGCTCTACCAACTGAGCCACACGCCCTTTTGTGTTTGTTTCTGTTTGATGGAGTGATGGGGCAGTAATCGTAATCTCTGCTTTGGGTGGGGTGGTGACGGAGAAGATGTTTTTGCTGGTGGATGAGGGATGGAGTCGCGCTGGTAGGGATGTGCTTGCTTGCTTGCTTGTGTGTTTGGTTGCGGGTTCATGCACGTTGTGGAGTTGGCGACAACGAACAGGATGGGATGTTTCTGTGCCGGAATGAACAGAGGCGGTAATTAATTACAATGTTGAGATGGGCCTTGAGCGGCAGGTTTATTATACACCAAACCAAACCCCCCCCCCCCCCCCCCTTCCCCTAATGCTAGGTATGGCCACTGGTAGGGATAGACGAGCTAATTACAGGTAGTGGGGTTTGGGAGAGGAGATCTTCTGTCTGTACCCTCAAACATTACCAATTCGATGTGTAGCCACCTAATTATCCGTCGGTATCGTAATTAGGTACCTATCTCAGCAGTGTGAGGGAGTTTTCTGCTCCCTCTGCAGCAACAATGGTGCCAAAGGCATCACCAACCACTTAACAATGTAAGGTACTCTTCAGGTGTAATTATGTATTTACCAACCACTTCCTGCAAATCACGATATAGCCGGTGTAATAAAGAACTAGGCACCAGCAAGACAAAGGGCACGCGCATTCTTATTCCCGTTCTTACTTCTCCCATCCACCCTTATTCATATGCACTCAGCAACGGGTTGCAGATACCTAAGGTAAGCTGAATTTTGGTATCTGGCTCTATTATCTTGTCGTACTCGAGGAGCTCCATCACATCGAGATCTCTGGGGTAGTCGATGGTCCCAAGACTCAGATAGGGGACACGGGAATAAGCCCTAGGGTAAGATAATAAAATTATATTCGCCGATTTACTGTAGGAGTCACGCCTGATTTGACTCCCCTCTCTTTCCCCGAGTCCTAGCCATCATGAAATCTGGGCATGTCGCAATCTTCGTTACAAATTCCATTATTCGCGCCAAGTTCTCTTCTGGCCGCGACTGCAAAGCTCAACTGGACTCCAGGGCTAAGAATTGGGGTAAGCTTTGGGAGAAGGGCAGCTGTGTTTTGGTTCTTGTCGTCGTTGCCATGCTCTCAATAGGAGAACCTCGGCTGGTATTAAAGCGACAGCCAATGGAACCAAACACCTGGAGAGGTCGTGTGGGTGACTTGCTCACGCCATGACGCAGTCGTCGGTCTTTTACGTAACATCTACATCGTCATTGGACAGCAATATATTTGAGGCTCAACCGAGGCCTGGGAAACGGATCCCAAAGGGCGGGGAAGCATGCAGCTCCTTGTGGTCTTTGACGGGTTTGTCAGTAGCATGCACCCAGCAATATGGAAACAATAGGCCCGAGTGGACTTCTCGACGGCTTCCAGAGAACGGGCCGCAATATACGCTCCCCCGCCGGGACGAGACTCTCCAGCCACTATCATATCGGGCGTGTTGCGTAAGCTCGCTATATCATCATGTGCCCGCGAGCTGTGCGCGCCAGACCTGGAAAGAACGCCGCCGGCGCCGGCTGACACGTCGTGTCGTTTTGCGGGGTAAATGCAAGCCCGGCATTAGGCGTTGCATTCTGCCGTTGACACCTGCACGGCGCACATGAACCCCTTTATTATCCGCTGCTGCCCATCTGCAGGTTGATGCGCCGTGGCAGGGCTCCACACTTCCAGGATTCAACGTCTTGGCTTCTTGGTCCGGGGATAGTTGTTGGCCTGCCTGCCGTTGGCCTGTCGAAGCAGATCGTGGGAGAGTAAAGCGGGAGCACATGGGGTGGATGAGACGGGCTTCTCTTGGGACCGCGTACTCAAACACGGGACGGCTAGGATCTTCACCTATTTTTAGCCCCCAGACACGACGATCAAAACACTAACCACGCAAGCATGATATTCACACAGAACTGCGTGTGGTGTCGTCACGACGTTAAGCTCTATAGGATCTGCCTGTGTCAAGCTCGCATCGAACCCGAGAGTTAGTCCACCAACAGACTCGCGAGCTTTTGGGTCGTACAGTATGGTGCCATAAGGCGATCGTGTGGTAAATATGTCGCGTAATATTGCCAGCCGATGCCGTGGCACGTCCGTTAACGCGCCGGCACCTAACCCTGGCTGCGTCCCAACATAAAATTAACGTCCTGGGTCCGCCGCCCGGAGTGCCCATGACTCTGGAGGACGCAGTTTGGTGCGGGCAAGCAGCCCATCACACGTGGTATCCGCAGATTATAAACAGGTAGAGCCAGTCCCAGACCCGGGCGGAGCTCCCGCTTCTCACCCCGAGCAGAGCTATTCTTTCTTCCATATTGCCCACTACTAAACGGCCAACCACGACCGCTCCCCCACAATCCGTCTGCGTCGTCTTGATTAAGTGTGCTGGAACCAGAACGGAGCCAACTCCCACAACCCGGCCACGCGAGAGCGGCGCCCCCAGCCGCAGATCTGGAGATCAGCCCGTGTATATAAGGCCGCGTCGAACTGCCTCACCGGACTCTCAGCTCGGCACCAGCTCTTCACCGTCTCATCCTACACACTGGGCAAACAAAAACAAAACAAAACACAACAACCACACACACACACACACACACACACACACACACACACACACACACACACACACACACACACACACACACAACAGAAAAACAAAGCCGTCAATATGCTTCCCAAGATCTTCTTCGCGGCCCTCTTCGCCGTCCCCTTCGCCGCAGCCCTCGCGGTCCCAGGCGACGCGTCCAACCTTGTCGTGCGCGCCGATCCCGAGGTGTCGGCGCCCGCGCCAGCTGGAACCGATGCTGGCGCGGAGCCGCTGAAGGGCAAGGGCAAGGGCAAGGGCGGTGAACACCGCGGCGAGGGAAAAGGCAAGGGCGGCGAGCATCGTGGTAAAGGAAAGGGTGGTGAGCATCGTGGCAAAGGAAAGGGTGGCGGGCATCGGGGTAAGGGAAAAGGTGGTGAAGGCAAGGGGAAGGGAAAGGGAAAGGGTGGTGAGGGTAAGGGAAAGGGAAAGGGCAAGGGCGAGGGCCATGGCGAGGATGAGGATGAGGAGTAGATGATCTAGCTTGGCGTTGTGGGAATGATGTTTGATGTTTTGACGGGAAAAAAAACCCCCAATTATAAAGAGGCACAAAAAAAAACAGGTGAGGTTGAGATAACTAGGGGCTTTTTGTTATTGTATTTTCTCTAGGGACACCGGTTTGGGGTTTAATATCAAATTAGTAAATATGCTACTTGGAATAGGTGCTTCGCACTCCGCTGATCCCATTTCCACTGCCAGCAGCTGATGGAGATGACGTATTCACGCATGCTTGGTGAAAGTTGGCTAGACAAAGGTTTTGGTGCCTCTTGCTTATGTTTGCGTGTTGGCTACAATTCATCGGAGTTTCAGGTTGCACAGCACGTCTGGATGCTGGGTCGGAGGAGGGCACTCGGTCTGGATCGACCCTTCCATTCACGAGTGCAGAGAAGGAATGAAACACGCCATGCTCTTCGTGGACAGTGAGCGGAAAAGGCTTCCCCACACGTATAATGAGGTTTTCAACGGTGACCAACAGAGGTCTCGTGGACGCCCTGTCGCGGCTGCCTTGACGTCGAAAGCACGCAGGGAAGCCGGCAATAAACCCCGTATCTCAAAGCTCGTAGTAGATTTTGATGCTGTCAAGACGGCGGTTGCGGATAAGAGTAAGGACGAGTTCTAGACGGAAGGAATATACGAAGTATTGTAAGCCTACTACAAACGTCGCTTGTGAGAGATTCGTCGATAATATATAGCAACAGGCGATCGACCATGTTTTACCCTCTGGATAAATTCATCCTCTTAGATTGTTTTCGGCGCAAGGCTTATCGTTATGAGCATTGAGAAGCTGGAGGATGTAACGGGCGAGCCTCGCGGAGTTACCGAGAAGCGAGAAGCGCTGAAGAAAACGATTCAGGACTTGACAGAGGCTGTAGAAGTTCTTCAATGAATGTGGAGGAATTTCTCTTGCTTTACAATCAGTTCGACTCACAGAAGGGGGTGCACATCGGGTACAGGCATTCTATTACTTGAGGCAACCAAGGCTACAGCAGAGGCCTTGGACGAGATCGCTCGCCAGGATTGCCAGAGACTGCAAACGGCGGACAAGAAAGATACTGAGTCCGGGGAGACTACGCTACCCAATAGTCTGATAGCAGACACTAGTTCTAATGATCAATGTGATTTTACTGGTATGTTTCCGGTATTGGAAATATTTCCAGGACTCACACGAAGCTTTACAGGGTTACCGGCCGGGAAGCACTTCGCACAGGAGAAGCTACCCTCGCTCTACCTTCATATCTGCCATACTAGAGCCAGCACTTGATCCTCAGCACGGCCCAGCGAGTCCTCGAAGAATGCTGCTTCGAATTTGCCATGTCCACTATACCCTCGTTGCTTTGTGAGAGGGAATGGGATTGCCCCGCCGCAGTGGAGCTAACCCAGTGGATAAGGATTCTTCGCACAGAGGAAGGCAAGCTGTCGCTCCGAGGAAACGAAAGCAATGCTCGCTACTGTATCGAGTCTACGGCACACCGCTGTCGACAGGGTCCCGACTACGGCCAGGGGGGTTAGCAGGCTCCTCAAGTCCGCAGTTGAGTTCGTACAGATCCTCTAGGACGACTGGCGCGCCGCACAGCTAGACGAGCTCCGAAGCGAAGTTGAGAGCCAGATCGAGGCCATGGAAATGAACAACAACTTTCTCGAAGATACAGTGTCCCGCGAAATCCAAAACATCCAAAAAAAAGAGAAGAGCTAGATATGATAGAGGCAGAGCTGATCCAGAGAATGATAAAGGACGACCTTGATAACAAGGCGTTGGTCGGGCAGCTGCTGAGAGACTCCGTTTATCGAATCTTCAGAAAGGGAAAGGCAAGAGACGAGGACCAGGACGATCAGGACGACTAGGATGACTAGGAGGATCAGGAGGACCAGGAGGATCTAGAGTCAGAAAAGGAGGAATGCAGTGGAGAGGAAAATGGGCGA